GAAACCAAAATGGTGACAAAGTCATATTATTCGTAAAGAACTCCATTTGTATCTGCATTAGCATTTGCGTTTCAATCTGTAAAGCCCGATATAGACTTTTTATAGGGTCTGCTTCGTTACGGACTAAAGATGCAGAATTATCTCTTTTATGGAATCTCTATATACGTCTTTAGCGTGAGTTAATATAAGGTTGCATTGACGTAACATTTCATCATATTCAAGGTGTTGTAGGAACCTTTCCGAATTGTTGAAATTTATTGCGATTGCGTCTCTCAATTCAAAATATAATTGCGAAAAATTTTCTAATCATTCAGTCAAGTTAATTCCTCAATGTTTCTTATACCATTTTTGCTGTCCTAAAAAACTAGGACTACTACTTCCACCAGTTTTTTCATTTAACATGTTCACTAAATCTTGTCTTTTTCTTTCCAAGTTACTAATTTAATAAGAATGAAAAGCTTGCTCTCAATAATCATTCAAAATATTATTTTATAATTAAACGGGTTACTAAATCACAACACGTATGTATCAGTTTACCGTTTCTCAGTAATTATAAGAATTGGGAATTTCAAAAGTTCGTTATAAGATTAATATGGATTTCGAAATTTCTAACTTTAAAGAATAATTTGGATCGTTATGGTGGGTGTGTTTTTTTTTTTATTTAAAATATGCCAAATATACAAATTAATTGATTCTATTGTAATGTTAAAAGGAAAGTTTAATACCTAACTATCCTTCAAATAAATGTTAAAAAAAATAAAAGTAAATAATTTTTTATCTATAACACTTTTGCTTGAGAGTGTATATAAGAAGAAACAATATAAGCCATGTCATCATTGTTATTGTTAGGGTTTAAGGGATTTAAGGTAGGTCCATTAAGGATCTACGCGGTTGTTTTGCCGATGAAAACGAATTTGAATTTGTATCTTTTTGTTTCTCGAGTTCCGAATAAAGCTAAAAAAGGAAAAAATAAAAATAAATAAAAAAAAACACTTTAGCCTACCATAAATATATTATGTGCAAAAGTTCCTTTGAAAAAGATCATACCTTGATGACTTTAGACAATTTAGCGAAATTAGGATCGTCGTAAGGTAAGCATTCCCTTTCTTTTCTCATCCTTTGAGCAATTTCAGTAAAAGTAGGACATTTCAAATAATTTGTCAATGGATGATTACAATTACCACAAACCATACCAATTATATTATCACTATTACTATTGTTATTCCCACCGCTATTGTTATCGCTGCTTTCATCATCATTCTTAACGGCTACCCTATTTAATTCTTTTAAATTAGATTTAGGGAATCCGCAAGTGGAGCAAGCAACCATATTATTATGCACATGTTTAGCTAATTTACAATTCATACATAATTGTTGATCTATCAAAGCTTTTTTCGCTTTTATCAATTGTTCCATTTGTAATAATTTTTCATTACAAGTAGAACATTCGGCGAAATCGGAATTAGGTTTACCGCATGCCATACAAGTACCGTAAAATCTTCGTTGTAAATCCATAGGATTCATTGGTGTTGGAGGTATATTTGGCGGAGTTGGATAACCACTATCATTTTTATAAGGTGGATAAGGTGCAACATTTATGGGAGATTGAATCACATTCCTACTATTATTCTCTACTTGACCGCTATGTCCTTTTACTGGCACAGAGTTCCTTCTTTCTTCAAATATTGGGGGATATGCAGGGACGGAAACAGGAGGATATTGATTTGAGTTTTCTGGCACGCGAAATCCACCAGGGCTGGCGTTTGGATCGATAAATCCTCCTGGGTTTACCGCATTGGGTGTGATGAAACCACCTGGATTCGCTTTTGGCTTGTTAACTTGATGATGATTGTTATGATTATACATTGAACTATTTTGCAAATAGTACTCCCTATTCATTTTTTTTTTTAAGTAAACAATTTATTTATTCTTTAAAGAGAAAAAAAAAAGATTTCGATTTATTTTAAAAAAATTTTTGAAAATTTATTTAAGAAAATTGAGAATAATTGATTTTAAGAAAAGGTTGCAAATATACAGTATTTAAAGAGAGAATATTTGCAACACATGTAATTTTATGAATTCCAATATTGGTAAAATGATAATGAGCATAAAAATAAACATGTGCACATCTTTGTTACGATCAATAAATACACAGATATAAGTGTGATTGTTGTTATTCGGAATTCCATGTCCGCTTCGAATTCATGCGCTTTGGAATTTACCAATGAAAATATCGACTCTTAATTCTTTTACTGAATATAGAAATAAAAACATTATAAAACGCATGATTCATATATCGGCTGGCATTAATGGTGAAATTCCGAGCCGCAGTACTTTCGGATGTACGTCACCTTTATTAAAAGAATTTTTGAGTGGGAGAAATTTTTTCCAAACCGCAAAAAAAAAGTATAAAAACCGCATCAAATCAATGATTTGCTTTCCCACACTTTTTTTTTTTTTTTTTTATTTTATTTACTCGTAAATTAAACAAAGAACGTGCCCAACGATTTTATATGTTATATTAAATTTGTATTTATCATGCGTTTCATTTTTTAATATTTCTGTGATCGGAATTTTGAGATTCTATTCGCTCTTCAAAAATTAAAGCCACTACTAAGCAATTTTTGTAGTGGTTTTACTATTTTTAGATGAGAATGGTTACGCAATTTTTTACATCACGTAACAGATTAGACAGATTATCGACATTTTTTTAAAAGTTTATAGATATTCAGCTGATAAACTATACTTGACTAAATCGACTGACGAAAAAACCCGAAAGATGACCCCTTGACCATAAAAGGATTGTGTCAGGTAACATTTACGGTTACACCGTGGTGACACTGTGGTAACCTACAATTGTTGCCCATATTAGATATCCATCCAAATATCGACAGAAAAAATGGGTCGTACGGCAAGGAGAAACAGCGAGCAAGAACTCTTCTTCAGTAGACAGGCAAGTCGAAAGAAAAATAACCTTTGCGCAAAGTGTAAGAAAGAAGAAAGTAAGTTCTCTTCCTGTTCGTTCCTCTTGCTCTTTATATATCCTGGTTTACTTGAACGTGGTTTCAATTTTTGAAAAATCTTGACAATTTGAGTTGAAGGAATTTCAAACTTATTCATTTGCTCAATTTTAACAACAGTGATCTTTTGAACTCACTTTTCGTTGATATTGCACGTATTCTTTTTAGGTTTTGATGGTCGTTGGATACGATGCGACAAGTGTACCTTATGGTACCATACGGCATGTGTAAGAATTCAACTCAATGATAACGGTGAGTTCTACGGTGACTACTATTGTCAATTGTGTACTGGTGTTCCAGATCCAATTGTCCAAGAATTTCGCCCGAGGTAATAAATTAAAAATAATCTTTTTTCCTTTTAACTATTATGTATCTATATATCTTTTTTTTTTTTTGTTTTTTTTAAAAATTTTGTTACTCTAGGTGTGTTCTTTCTTGTTTGGAAAAATTTAAAAATGGCTTCAGTATAGATAAGTATTAACGTGAATCTTTTTTATATTTATCTTCTCCCGTGTTTTTCTCTTTCCCTTCGTTTATTTCTTTTAATAGCGAAGAAGATTGTGAACCAAATAGTAGTAGACTTTCCCCTTCTTCGTCAACCTCCTCTTCATCAGGTGCAAGTGGCCCACCTACCAAAAAGTTCAAAACCGGGTCTTCGCACCCCACACCTACACAATTCCCACTATCTCCATCCACGTCCACACCTATGGAAACGGAAATCATGAAATGTGAAATGGGCAAAAACAATAAACATAATCACAACTTAAATCATATTCATCACAATTCCAACAATAATAATGATCATGGTGTTGAAGGTGAGAACAAAAAAATCATTTATTAGAGACAAAATATATATCACTCTCTCTTCCCCCCCCCCAATATTTATTCTAAAAAAGAAAAAAAAAAAATACTTATTCTTTTTCTTGATGCGTATAGAAACGCCGAAGAAAAAAAAGTGTAAATTACAAAAACATGAATCACCTCTTAGGCCTAGTAACGTAAACGTCGAAATTCATCGTTTATTTGAAACATCAAAATTTTTAATCCCAGATAAACCGATATCACGACCTTACGACTGGCCAAATCCTGTTCCCTACTCTCGTGCCGTTATTAGGATGAGTCAGATACGCGAATTTATTCTAACGCACTGTCCGAAGGCCGCAGCAGTTGGAATTATCGATGACTCACAAGAACACAAACCTAAATCATTACAGATTGCAGAGGATTTGTGGAAAAAATTGGATTCACTTGAACAAAAATATAATCAGCATAATCAGGTTTAAATTGCTTTATTGGGGGGAGGTTTAACCTTTTTTTTTTTCCAAAATGAACTTTTTTTTTACTTGTAGTGTAATGTTTCTTTTTTATTTCCTTTTTTTTTTTTTTTAATATATATATATATATATATTCTTGCATAACTGGATGGGATATTAAGGATTAAACAACAAAAAAAAAAAAAGAGTTAGTTTTTTAAACTTGTTAATTTTTTTTTCTTTTTTAATATTTTATCTATTACATCATTTTTTTTTTTTTTTTTTTTTTAAAAAAAAAAAAAATAACGAGTTTTTAACTCGTTAATTCTTGGAAAAAAGTTTTTTTTTGATTATATAGTATAGAATATTACGAGTATAAAAAGCTAAATTTTCATTAGATATATTTTTGTAAATAATTTCAATTGTTTAAATTATAAATAATATTAATAACGAAAAAAAAAAAAAAGGGAAAGAAAAAAAATTCCAAATTTCTTTAATTCTGTGTCGTTTTTGTTACGCCCCAATGAGTAAAAACCTAAAAAAGGTTTTTGTGCAACATAAAAAGATTTTCGACCATCAAATACAAATTGTTACATTCAATTGTTGTATAATCAATTGTTGTTTATCGGATCTGAGTGTCAGAATTCCGTGGCTGTACGCAATATTTTGATCATGAGGCTTGAAATCGTTATAATCAAGATTACATAATCACAAATCACTTATTTGTTTAATTTAAATTCACATCTATGTTTAAAGGAGTCAAGGATTCTATTTGTTTTTCGAACTCCATTATCGCAAATACAACCTATTTTAAATGTATCGTCCTGATATTCGTAATTACAAAAATTTATAATTGGCTTTCCGTTTACTTTACATTTCTCATTACACACCCTTTGATATTCATGACAATTAAAATTGCAATGGTCTGATGTAACTTTAATGCTACTTGGTTGTAACATTTCTGAAATCCTCTCGGAAAATGAAACTTGTATATCATTATCGCAAAAACATTTCGATGTGAATCGATTTGATGATAATTGTGAACAACTGTTATTTTTGATTGTGCTCTTTGAAGAACATGTCGTCGAAATCATCTTATCACACATCGAGGTGAATGCCTCGCAGGTTTCGATTGAAACCTTTTTATCAACCTTGAATGAATACGTTTTCGGTGATGTATCTGACGGTGATGATGAATCATCGTAAGCATTACGAGCGATGACATCATGCTCTTTCTCTATAAAAACTGATCAGATGTCATATCGGTAAATGATTTTTGGATCAATCAATCAATGACAAAAGAAAAAACTAAATCAATTTACTCTTTTGCTTCATTAATTTGATCTTAATACTTTGACAATCGCTATTTAAGTTGACATCCAAATATTTTGACACGAGTTCTCCACTATTATGATTTTGACGAGATTAATATGCGTTTTACATCATGAATGCAAGTAATTGTTTTTGTACTTGCCAGTTTCCTGCCTGTTTATTCTCGAGTGAAATCTGGTTGGTCCTTAAAGTTGGATTCAAAAGTACATTTACATTTGAAACATCATTTACTTTAATGCAATGCTCATAACACGGAAAATATATTAAATCAATGATTTGATTTTCGTCCAAGGTGGAAAGATCGGGAATCAAATTTTTTCTCAAATCATTATACGATAATCCCGAAGCATACGGCATATTTTGAAAAAGAATGAAAACAGATAGAATGAAAGTTTTATTGAAAATCATGTTGAAAATGTAATGAAATGTACAGAAGAAGAAAAAAAAGTAAATAGAGAAAATTTGTTTTTGAGAATAGTAATATATATATGTATGCTTGAATGTGATTCGTTATCTTTATAAAGAGATGAGATGAATTCTGTTTTTTATCTTTTTGTTCCATTATTTGTTTAAAAAAAGTTGAACAACATATAATTGGGTGACTTTTTTTGAATAAGGGAATTTTTTTAAACATTTTTTTTGCCAAGAAAGATAAACAAATGCCCTTTTTCGGTTAGATCTTCAATGAGTCAATTCATGCATAAGTCGAAACAAGACAATGATGACCTTGTTGATCAAATAAATAATTTTTTTTTTTTTAAAAATTAAAAAAATTTGAACAAAAAAAAAAAGTTTTGAGATATAAATTTTTTTTTTTAGGGTGCACTGATCTTCAGAATCTTGATGATCAGTCCATTTTTTTCCGAATTTTCTCATTTTTGTTTTTTTTTTTGTTTTTGCATTTAATAAAATAAAATAATCGGGGTGGGAAAGATGCGAAATGAATTTTATGCTAAACATATTATATATGTAAAATAATCTTGTGATTTTCCCCTTTATATCGCAAAAGTTCATTTATTACCGTAACTACCGATATTATAGAATACACATGAACAATTAGAATATTTTTGGAGAACTACACAAAAAAAAAAAAAAAAAAAAAAAAAAGTTTTAAATGATTAACTGATGCAAGTTAACATAAAAATATAATTAAATATTTCCTTTTTCTTATATCGTATTATTGGATTAAAACATTTTTTTAGATAAAAAAAAACGAAATGTTTATTTGTTTATATAATATAAATTAATTAATGAATTAAAAGGTTAGACTTTAACATTGTAATTATTGATGGCCTATGCTCCAATTGACTCGGAACTTTTGATTTAAATTTTTATCGCAAGTTTCGACATGTGAATTGAAGTACCTCTGAAGGATGACGTTATGCATTAACCATATATTGTGACGTAAAAGTGTGACGTCAGTCCAAATACGGATAATTATACTATTACATAAATACAGACATACATACAGTATGTTGAGTCGACTTGGCCAGTAATTAACCCTTCTCAGTCCACTGTACATGAAAAATTTAGCAATTATAATATTTAAAATTAAAAAATTTTCAAGATATATATATTAGCGATAATTTAGCCGGAAAATCAAATTGAATCAACCCATCCAATTAGAAACTTTGAATTTTGGCAACATATTTAATGCATCAAAATTTGGTTCAGTCACGAACTTTTGTCCTAGAAATAACGGAGTCGACCTCTGCAAGGGTTGAATCCGGGTTTTACTATTATAATTTCTTTTCTTTACTTTTCTGTTTTTTTTTTAAACAATAAAAATAAAATAAATTTGTAACTATGAATGAAGTTACACAAAATGTACAAAAGTATGGTTTTATAGGAACATTTTTTTTTTTTTTTGAATTTTGGATAAATTGTCGTTTTATTTGCTATTAAAGAGAAATTATGCGCTGTATGATCGTGGCATGAAGTTTATAAAAGAAATTAACTAAATTTAAATTTCATCTTTTTGCACTAAATATTCGATTATCAAATTATCTTGCGATTCAGCTCTAGATTCCCGTGTAAGTTGTCTCTGCGTTGAATACCAAAAGTTTTTCAGATCATTTTGCGAACAAGATACACAACGAATTTTCATTTCATTTTGTAAAAGTTTCCATTCAATTGGAGGTTTTTTGCTTAGTTTCTCAACAATCCATTCAGAAATAAATTCCTTATCTTCATTAGAGAAAATATCATGATTGCTGCTGAATCCGAATTTTTTGAGTTTTTGGATTTTCAGTGATAGGTTTTTGAGAGAGCTATTTATATATTTTAAGAAATCGTATTTGATTTTATGAAAACGATTTATACGTTTCAAGGAATCGTTATAATTCATCTAAAGAGAAAATAGATAGAATGGTTTATTAAATAATTTCTTTCATAAAAAATTTTTTTTTTAACAGCTAATATGAATTATCTAACATACGATTTTGATTCCTTCTGCAAGATACAATTTTAATCCTTCTTCAAGATACTTTTGCAATTCTTTAAAAAAACGGACGCGGAGAATAACATATCAAGTAAATGATATAATGAAAGGAAGGAGTTAAATTTCCGATGAATGAACTTATTTATATCAAAAAACTCAAATAAAACTCGTGATAATGAATTGTTTCACTTACACTACATGTTCCGCATTCAAACAATGATATCAGAAGATAACTTCACAATTCACAGCAATCAAATGCATTCATTGCTATAATGAATTGAGAAAGTTATCGGTATAATTATCGGACCGGGTATTATAACTTTCTACACATTTTTATCATAACAAATTTGCATTTTTTATTATGTCAAAAGTCAAGCAAATTCTTTTGTAAAGGTAAAATTACAAATTACTAAAGCTCCTTATAAGCCGATTTGGCTATTAGATCAAATCGAGCTACCTTTAATTTGGCCCAGCTCGACTTGTTTCGGTGGACCAAGCCAATCAGGGTTGCAAGCCGGTCCTTTGTCTCATTAAAATTTGAGGGAAACGTTCCGAAATGATTCCCTTCGAGAGAAACTTTTCCGTAACGATTCCTATCAGAGAAACGTTTCCTTTAAAGAAATCAACTCCGTGAAGCGTTTACTTAAAGTAAACGCTTCCGGAGCGTTTTATTTGAAGAAAAAACGTCAGAAGCATTTCTTTTTAAAGAAATACGGCTACTTGGCTGATTTTCTCACGAGAAAGCGCCACCGGAGTCGTTTCGTTAAGAAATCACCATTGGGTGTGTTTTTCTTCAAAGGAAAATCGTTATGCTACAAAAAAAAAAATTAGATTAGATGGTTTATTAAATGATTCTTTCATTAAAATAAAGTATCAATTATTTGTATAAATGAAAAGGAAAGAAAAGAAAGAATCCAAGTGGAATTAAATCTCCGAATGAACTTATTATTGTTCGCATTCAAACAATTATTTATAGTAACTGCGATTGGGCTTAAATTCACAAATCAAATGTTCGGCGATTGTGAAGATTGTGAAGTTACTCCGGTCGGATAATTTGATTGGTGGATTTTGCCACTTTGTAATCTCTGATGATAACCCGTAAAGTTACTATCAATTATGCATTAGTTTAGTCAGTCAACTGAGGGGAACTTTAAAAAAAAAAAAAAATTTGGATAATTGCATAGCAATTATACAAAATAAAAAGTTGTAGATAATTAAAAGAAAAAAGACTAACTCGAAGGTAAATTATTGATTTGTTAATTTCTTAGAATTCCTTAGAGTTGACATTCATGAAGGTTTAAGAAAATGGAAAACATATTTTAATCAAGCAACTAAAAAAAGTACCGACAAAGTTCGGTAAAAGTGTGACGATCGAATAAAGCTCATAATGATGCCTTCATCGCGCGACCGGTTGTTATGATTTATTTTTTTAGCTAAATGTTTTTTATTAAGGAAAATTTAATCGCGCCTTCTTTTTTTTTTTTTAAAGAATACTATTTTCTCGCATTGTAAAATTACAAAAAAAAAAAAAAAAATTTCTTTCCTAATTTGTGATATTTGAAAGAAGGTTAAAGAACCCCTATATAGCCAAAAATAATGCACCCTATAATAATCTAGTTTTGGAAATTGATTATCACCATTGAATAAAAAAATTTTTTTCCTGTATAAAAAAGGATAAAAGTACATTCTAGAAAAATAATTTGAAAAATAATTTCAAAGGGAATGCCCCATGCTCGTTTGGGTTCCTTGGCGTGTTGTTTGGTGGTGAAATGATTCATCCTTATTCATTAAATTAATCTTCACTCAAATAACTTCTTCATCTGGCGCTTCGGCTCCACCTTCCCGTAAATGCTTTAAGTTCCAAACATTTTTCAGATCAATTTGCGAACAAGGTACACACCGATCTTTTTGCATTCTTTTTTGTAATTGTTTCCATTTGATTTTTCCAATTGTTTTTAAATACTCTTCAACACATTCACATATGAACTCTTTATCTTGATTAGAGAAATTTCCATGACTGCTATTGATTCCGGGTTTTAGAACGTTCAATAGATAATTGATGAGCCAGGTAATGAAATTTCGACTCTTTTTCAAGAAAATTTTATCATTATTAATATGCTTCTTAAGCTAATAAAATAAATGAAGTAATGAAAAATAAATTTAGTTAGGATGGTTTATAAAATAATTTCTTTCATTAAAATAAAGTAACAATTATCTTTTAACAGTTGGTATAAATTATTTAACATACGCGAAACACTTTTTTGTTCGACTTTAAAAAAACGTTCGCGGAATATAACATATCGTTATAAATGAAAGAAAAGAAAAGAAAAACATTAAGTCACTCTCATTATGATTCATTTTTAACCTAATGTCATTATTTACTGTTTCACTAACACCACCGCATTCAGGAGCAAATATTATTCAACAATAGTTTAATAAACCGTTTATAGTTAGTCATTTCATTGTTTCACGATAATGTAGGCCTATTTTGTCATTAAGCTGGTTGAACGTTTGCGCACGTAATAAAAAATGCCGTTCTTAAATTACACCAAATAGGGAAGAGTCGAGCCAAGAATCAATTGGTGAATGGGCTTGAGCTTATTTAAATTAATACTTTCAAGCGAGAACCATTATGACGAGAACTTTGAAGAATTTAAAAGAAGGTAATAAATAAAAAAAAAATTTGGTCAATTCGCATATACATTTATGGATAATTTCATTTTAACAAATGTACAAGATAAAAGGTAATAATGATTGTACCATTATAAATATGTTCTAAAAATCAAATGAAAAACTCGAAGGTAGGTAAATAAATTTCAAATATTGATTTGTTAATTCTCTTGGCTATTGACATTCCAAAAAAATTTCAGAAAAAAGGAAACTACTTCTAATCAAACAGTATCCGATGCTGAATTATTCTAAATGGTACATAAACTATTACAGGTATAAAATTTATAAATATAAATCGATGGCAGCAGACACAGTTTCTAGTTACAGTCGATTTTCTATAAATGCTTTTGGGACCGTGCATTACAAAGTAAAATAAAAGTTTTGGACTGAGCTAGGCGTGCATTTTAGGATGTAAAGTCGCGTCACAAAGTAACACACGATCTTCAAGCTTTGTATTTTTTTTTTTTTATTTTTTTATATTTTTATTTTTTTTATAATTTATATATCGTTTATAGCTAATCAATTATAATTTTCAAAACAATAGCTAGTATTCCTAGACTTAAAATGGCAAGAGCTGTTTTAATTATAATAGGTGAAAAAAAAATTAAATATATATATTATGATTTTTAATTATAAAAAAAATTTATAGAAATATTTTCTGTTAAAATGGTTTATAATTTTAGTGCTAATGAATTGTGTTTTTCTTTTATTATTAGATACTTGAATGTAAAAAATTTTACAATTATTGTTACTTTATGACATAATTGTCCATATTTGTGACATATGTATCTGGTAATCTTGATCTTGTTTTGATAAGGATATAAAGTCCGTCTTATTGCGAACGTCTGTATGTAAACTTGGTTCCTGTTTCATATTTCCGATATAATAATTATTTTCCGAGATTGTTGAATTCACATTTCTTTAATTAATATTATATAGATTCACCGAAATTCGAATTGACATTTTATCAGACTTTTAATTCAACCAATTGATTCGGATCCATCCGAATTAACGTCTGATTCCATGTGAAAAATATATAACGTCATTTGAATATTTTTCTTCTAATAAAATTCTTATCAACGAATTTTTTAAGCAGAATTCATATTATCACGAAATTTCGCATCGTTACGTTTTTTTTTTTTTAAATGATTTTTTACAATCAATAAATTTGTAACCTTCGGAATTTTTTGTGATTCGGATCACTCGTAATTTGTAATACGGTAAATCATCAATAATTTTGTTTGACCAAAATTGTTTTTAATAAAATTAAATTTTTTTTACAAAAAGCGATAATGAAAGGTCAAAATATAGAAACGCCAAAAGTCTAAACCCTATTTCGATTTGACGGAACCGTCGAACTTTAGGGTTTGTCCACAGCCTTAGTTCAAAGGCTCAATATTAGTTAACATATGGAAGGTTTTACTAGTGTTGTATTCAGTTCTTTCGTTTATGTATTTATAAACAATTTTGTAATGTAAGCAGAAGGTATTATTGAATAATTATTGAATAAAAATGAAGTAATTGTGACAAATATTAATTTAATAATATCAAATTAATCAGCGTTGCCTCAACGTCGGCGCTCTACACTTTCGCTTGATCAATATTTTAAACTCTATAAATGCCAGATACTGAATTCTAATTAATTAAGACTACGCAAATACGATAATAAAAATCGGAAATTGAAATAAAATAATAAACGATGTTACAATTGCGAAATTATAAAGTTAAAATGGCGAAAATCGAAATGATCGCGAAGGTGTAAAAAGGACGATTGCGAAGGGAATGTTTTTCAAAGAAATATATTAAAGGCGAGCATGGGATATTGAGCTGTTTTAGGATTTCCAGCTCGATATATATAAAAAATATTAATTAAGCCAGCCTGGCATTTTGACCATTTGTCATACTGGCACCTTGACAACCTGACAGCCTGACAAATGATCGTCAAAAGGACTAACTGTAATTATCAAAAACGATTTACATGCGAAGTTATGAAGATTTCGGCCGGAATTACATTCAATCGTTAACACTAGTTACGAACATAGTAAATCATATGATCCGCAACGTGATTTAATAGCAAACCTCCCAAATGTATTTTTTTTCGGATTGATGGCATCCAAATTCGGCGGCATTAATTCATTTTTTGATTTTTTCCTCCCTCCCTTTCTACAGTATATTGTAAGGGATGTCAAATGTTATCTCTTCACAAAGGAAATGAATAAAAGGACATTTTGAATGAACCTTTGATTTTTAATTTTATATACCCATAGGTTTTCATCATAGAAGATTCGTATATACAAAATATTAATATTAATAGAAGTTTTATCTTATGGAAGATTGTGAAATAAATATTTTCTAATCTCCTAAACAGTGAATATTTAAATCTTTTCTTAATTTATCCTTCATCATGAAAACCTCTGAGGGTGATTTCTAATATATTAATAGATCAATAATTTCATATTGTCCCATTTCATTTTTGTGAACATAAATGGCTCTTTCCGTATCATCTCACCAACCTTTATTAACCTACTTTTCAGTGTCTTGACTAGGAATGGTAACGGTCGGTCGTGGTCGGGCGACCGGTTGACCGACCGATTCTGATCGATTTTGTCCGACTGACTTGAGACTTTGACTTGCTGAACAACCATGATTTAAAATAGGAAAAAAAAAATACTTAACAAAAATCAAACATTTTATTTATAAATTGTAATTTTGAAATTTTGAAAAAAAAATATTAAACTCCGTTGATAATGCTGCGCCACTAAATAAATGATAAGGTAGTTTAAAAAAATGTAAAGCTGGCTAAATTAAACTTTCTATTAACCGGTCGGTCAACCGGTCAGTTAAAATCTGACGGTCACCGGTCGGTCGGTCAAAGTCCTTCGACCGATCAAAAGCCTTTGACCGGCCGATATCGGTCACGGTTATCGGTCATGACCGTGCGCCATTAGCATCCCCAAAGTCTTGACCTCGAAGAGGATTTCCTATTTTCTCTTAATAAAAATCAACATGCCTCAGAAATTTGTAATACATTTTATGAAGGAATTTAAAGTAGTATTCATTCAAAAGGTTAATAAGTGTCGCATTGATTTCAGTAAATTATTTTATGATCCACGTCTTTGCTTGGAGATAGAATTCCAGCTACCTTTGTATAAGATTCCAGGAATTTTTGAACCAGTAAATTAAGGATTATATTACCGTTTACTAATTTTTCGCCCGTGATGTTTCTATTGATATTACCCGCTTTCTAATTGTTCTCCCGTAATGTTTTTTATTGATATTTTACCGGATTCACTATCAGAGTTGAATTTTCCGTGAAAATATCAATATGACGCAATTACCGTGATATATCAAACGAAAATCGTACCGCAAAATATTTAATATATTTTATTTAATAAGCTTGATATAGAAAAAAAGCATTTTTTAAAATATTACATTATTACAAGCATAAATAAAAATTATTACTATTATTGAAAGGCATATTAATTGGTAAATCTTGTGATTCAAGATTTATAATTTGTAACGGTTTCTTATTTTAATCTTGAATTTGTTGCACAGGAATAAAATTTCCTTTTCAATGCAATGTCAGTATTTTTGGATGTTTTAGGTTGTAAACGTATTAAATTTTACGGTCTTTGAAAAAAAAATTGTAAAAAATAAAATTACTTATGATGTAAAAAAACAGTACTTTTATGTCACAATAACATGTTACTTACATAATTCATGTGATTTTTCTTATCACGGGCGTTAGTGATCGGGAAATATAATAGTTATTTACCGGACATCATCAAGGTCACGGCTGCGCCATGACGCCCGATGATTTCGCGGTAAATAACTAATACATATCATCCATTGTAGGGAGCGTTCCAGCAAAATCACATTACTGATCATATGATTTATTATATATACCTTGTGACTTGATTTTATGATCAACATTATTTATATTGGGCGCGCGGGTTTACTTTGACCAGGGTGTTAAAAAATATCCGAAGGATTTCTAAATCAAGTTTAAGAAACATGGAAGAGTAATAAAGAATATTTTGACAAATACTGTTTCGGAATTAATAATCTATAGTACTCATTTATTTATAGAGAATACATTATGAAACGTTTATTATTAAAATATAATTCCGAACAATACATCATGCTAATTGTTTTTGTTACGGTATAAAGAAGAGTTTTTTCACAGTCAATATGTATTTTTGTATTGTGATAACAACTTGGGAACTTTTAATACATATCCTTATAGAAGAACTGGTGATTCAGAATATATCAATAAATTTTTTTTTTTTGATCGAGATTGTGCAGTTTATATATTCTTTGTTTGATTTTTCGACATGTGAAATTTTTTTTGTGCAACTTCATATAACAGTATAAATATGGTTTAAAAAAATTCTAATACATTTGAATAAATTGGTTACAGCAAAGAAAGTCAATAGAATTACTAATCTAAAACGTAGAATTAAATCGGATCATATATAACGCCATACTATCAATTATTATTACGTATGGTATCTTATGATCAATAATTTAATACACAAACAAAATAAACTTTAAAGCAAAAAATCAAATATAAGTTCATTTTTATTTATTACCTTGAAAAAAAAAAAAAAAATTTTTTTTTTTTTTATTTGACAAAATAAGTAATTTGGGTACAAGTCTAAATGAAATAACTTTTATAGTAATAATCTCATTATTTGAAATTTAACTCAAAAAATCAGTATCAAACAAAAAATAATCTTTTTCCCACATATATAAGCAAACTTTTCTTTATTTTAGATAAATATGAAAATAGTAATCTTAATAAGTAAAGTTCGAACGTATTTCATAATATTAATTTTCCTGTTTCTATTATTTACAAATGACTTTGTTCTTTGTAAGGGGGGCGGCAAGGGAGGAACTACCAGTAAATCCAATGGAAAGTCAAGTCCATACAAAGGTGGCGGCAGGAGCTCCTCATACTCGTCTGGTAATTCTAGATGGGTGTTTTTTTACTATGGCACGAATGGCAGTCGTACTTGCGGCAATTTTTGCATTATTACAGCTTTGCTGGTAACATTATCTATCATATCGATTATCGGATGTGGAATTTGGCGTTGTCATAGAATAAGAAGAAATTCTAAAGCCGAACTAGAAAATAATAAAATGGAATTTGGTGAAAATCATAATCATAGCAGACCTTCCTCAGCTTATGCTTCTTCAACCGGAATTCCAATACCTTCAACTTCGTTTCCTGCTCCAATTTACGGTGATAACTATTCACCATATAATAAGGTGGCACCTTCTTCCAAAAGTTTTGATTCTATGGATGAGATTATACCAAAGAAAAAATATAAATCCTAATTACGAAAATTTCAGAGTTCATCGTTGAATAAAAAGAAAGTAGTAGAAAGTTTTATTATCAATTTGTCTATAATCATGAATGCAAAGAAGTAAACCGAATTGAAAGAAAAAAAAGAAAAAAAAATAAATAATCATATTTTGCTGTATATTATAATCTTTATTTTTTATATTTTAATATAATTTATGTTAATTATTACATATTTTATTAAGATTTATAAATAGGTAAAATGAATAAAACAAAAAAAAAAGAAAAAAGAAAAAAGAGAAAAAAAAAAGAGAAAAAAATTATTTATTATAATATACTGTATATTATATATATTAACCTATCCTATTTTCACTAATATTTCTCTAATTTAGTTTATACTTTTTATATTGTTATTTTTATCTGTAAATATTTGAAGTATTATTTGAAATAAAACTATTAATTTTTTACAAATAACTTTATAATTTTAACATAGATGATTATTAATATCTAATTTCTTATTCAAAATTATCCTTATATTGAATTAATTATATAAACTTAATCTGTGTATATTTTTATTTAATCATTTATTATAATAATTTACAAATTCTTATTATATATAGCTTGAATTTTTCAATTTTATATCTTCATATATTTACAAACCGATTTGAAAGTGATATAATACGAAAATCAATACTTGAAGAAACAAAAAAAAAAAAAAATCCTATGTTCGATGTTTAGATAAACCCCTTTGCTTGCTTAATAAAATGGGCCCACCGGGACCATATCCTCTAGCTTCTTTATATAAAAACGCTCTTTCGGGATCATCACCAAAATTAGTCTTGATGACACATGGACCACTCGCGCCAATAGTAGGAAACCAAATATGTCTTATGTCAGTAAAAGCATTTCCCAAGAATTCACCATTCTTGGTAAAAAAAACATGACCAACGGTTGGATTATAACCGCAACCAACTGTATCTCCAACTTCCGTCCAATCAGGACCATAACTCATTGCAGTATTATTATTGTTATATTTGCAACCATTAATAGAGTGATAACCAACAGAATATATATTCGAACCAGGTAATCTAAAAGAGGGATAAGGTTGGGTAGCCAAACCAATAGAAATATTAGTATCAGAAGGATTTCTATTCTCCAAAATAGTAATTTCATAGTAATGCAGAATTTGTCCCATTATATGCGGCATACTTTGAGGTTGTTCAAACATTTCCTCAGAAAAACTAACTTGACCATCTTCTTGTGTGTTTATGCCCTCACTTCCAATGACAGGCACAAAACATGGATAATTAGTTTGTATACTAAAGTTCATATTTTTCAAAAATTTTATGATTTTGCCTTCGCCAATGATCGCAATTATTTGATCTGCAATCATCCGTTCTTCAGCGATCCACTGCCATGCTTTTGCACCTCCAACGCTTTGTATAAAGTCAAAATGTTCAAGAGGAGGTAACTCTTCTTGTGGTGGAAATTCTCGTATAAACTTTTCTGCTTCTTCATATTGTTTATCGATTCGTGTTATATTCGAGTCTCCTTCAACGTAATCAATCTGTATTTGAGGTATTTTCGACATAAATAGTGGAGCCTTAGAACCTCTTTCATATATGGTACTCGTTTTAGAACGACAAAACCAATACCAAATACAGAAAATACAAATTATTAATACTATGATTAAAATGATTACGCAAAGAAGACAAAGGTAAGCACACTGTCGTTCTCCATTCTCATAAGTCCAAAATACCCATCGAGATCCTCCACCACTATTTTCTTCCCTTTTGAATGTTACAGAATTACATCTGTAATTGCTTAATAATATTAGCGAAATTAAAATAATATATATGATTTTTTTGAAAATGTTACTTGATATGTTTGCTTTGATTTTCATATTTAATAATATAAAAAAAAGACTAAAAAGACGGAGGGGTTGTCTAATATGTTGATATTTGTGAATCATTCAGCGGTTTAAGTCGTGGCGCAATCGATAGTTCTCTAGAGGAATTTAAAAAGCCCTTTTTTTTTTTTTTAATATATTATGATATGATGCTTATGATGCTTATGAATTGATTAAATTAAATTAAATTAAGCTTATGATTTTTCGTTTTGAATATACGGTGATTTCCGTTTTCGTAAAAATAAACATATAAAACTAGTTTTAGTTTTTGTTTTCTATAATAGTCGTAAAAATAAACATACAAAACCAGTTTTACCTTTGTTTTCTATAATAGTAACAGTATTTAATTATATAATCATAGACACTGCCTTAAACGATTTAAATATGGAACAAGTAATTTCAATTAACCAATCCATAAAAAAGAAGAGATTAATAATAAAATAAAAAGAGAGGGAATCCAATTAATTCATGAAACAATTTACTACGAACTCTAACTAGTTAAAATTGTCAAATTGTTCCAAAACTCCGATTTTTATAATGAAATTCCGATTTGGTATCGATTTACGTTACAAGTCATAATAATTAGTGGCAATCAAACGTAAGCCGCAGTGGCTTCGAAATTATGAGTTAATTAAAAAACACCTTTAAGAACACAGCCAAATTTAATTTTTTTTTTTTTTTTAATGTTGTAAACATTTTCCGAGGAAATCCTTTAGTAAGGTTATATGTATAGAAGATGTATATATGTTTGATTTGGTTTCATAATTCCTTGAATTTCCTAAATATGGTCCTTAATTCAATTATGTATAACTTGATTTTAATTTACTTTTCGTGGTAAATGTGGCTTGATTAGAAAATTCAACGTAGCTTAGAACCTTCTGCAGTTTTCAATTTCAACATTGGCAAAAAAAGGTTCTGCGAATAGTTTTGTGTTTTATGAAATCATTAATGCTAAAATCAGATTGGAATTCATTTAATCAATTTGAATTCTATCCATATTTCGGTAATCGTTAAACCTAGGATTGCTTTCCAAGGCTGTGTAAATCAGCTCACTTTAATACTAACAGAGTATGGTTTTATATAATCTGCAAACAAAATCATAACCCAACATTTCTCCGAGTGGCTTATTACTTATAAAAGCTCCTTGTTAACCAAGTTATCGTTTTGCTTTGACAAAAAGCAAACGGCTCTGGAAATCTGCGGATTATTGACGTTTACTAACCGGTAAAATTTAGTAGAATTCAATTAGGTATTATTTTATTTACGTTGCATTACCTTTACTTATTTGTTAACAAATAATAATCGAATTTATACTGGATTTAGGATTGTAGCTTCGTTCAGATTATTCCAAAATCAAATAAATCAATTAATCATCAGCCTCAATTAATCCCAATTCAAACAAAACAAGTTCATTATATTCTATCCCTAATTAATATAACGCATCGTTGCAAAACTGTGTAATGGAAAGGTAATATAAAAAAAAATTAAGGTATTTTACCCTAATTGAGTTAAATATATAACGCTTTGATTTCATGTAACAGATTTCATTTTTTGCTAGTATTCTTGGTTATTTACGTGAAATAGATAAAAAAAAAAAAAAAAAAAAAAAAAGGTCATATGATTTTAATTATAATTGACCTTTTTATCTAATTTTTTTTTTATTGTGTAAATTTCTTCCGATATTAAAGGAATCAATTCAATTTATAATGGATGAAACATCATCAATACCTGATCCTAAATTTGAGGTAATTTCCGCTGGGAACTTTGAATCCCTTGCTCTTGGTCAAGATTTCGACAAGTTCAGATACTTTCAGATTTGTGGCACTTGATGACTATTTCATGTTCAAATCAAAAATTATAAAAGACATTTATGTACAGATCAATAAGACTTTAGAAAAAAACCTCAGTCCAGAAAAAGGAATACCAGATTTTATCGGCTTTGTTATTCAATTTACTTTAATTTAAACTAAATTTTCTGAATGCTGAATATTTTCATTATTGCGAAATTGTATACTATTCTGTAGATGAAGAATAATTTGTATTTTTTAATGGAAAAATGTTTTTGTAACAACCTGTTACATGTCTTATTTGTAACACCCTTTTTTATTTTTCTTAATAATAAATTATTTTATTAAATATTTTATAAACATGATTTTTAAATGCAAAATTAAATTTAAAAAACTTTTACTTAATGTATTAAAGAAATTTTCATAGACAAAATTTTCATTTACAAACAGTTTTTTTTTGAAATTTTTTAAAAAATTCTTATTTTCGTTACACAACTGATCTTTTGTTTTGATTTGCTAGACGTTACACCTGATCTTAAATTTTGATTGGATAAAATTTTAGGTGTTACAAATAAGACATGTAACAGGTTGTTACAATTAGATTTATCCTTTTTTAAATATAAATTTTTATTTTTTTCAGACAAAATCACTTTAATTCATGGTTAATTAGTTATTGATTATAAATTTCAGTCAGATTGCAATAGATCAATAAGGAGTAATAATCATGAAAGAAACCATTCATGCTAAACCTGAAAGTAAAACAATAAGGTTTTTACTAATTTAGTATTCTCTAAGAAAGAGAAGTTCATGTAAGATATGTGTGTTTCTCAGTTTTTGCAAGTATGATAACATGAAGCTACATTATGCTATTTAAAAAATTCAGCATTATTATATATAGCTTGAAGGTTGTATATCTTGCATATTACTTTTTGTTCACCTTATAATAAAACAAATACTAAGGAGTTAAAAACTCACCTTGTTAGAAAGGTTCACTTTGTTTACAAAATATGTTTAGCTTTTTACAAATTTTTAAATATAAATAATAAATAAATTAAAACATAATATATTTCTACTATTATTATTATATTTGGATTGTTATAGAGAAAAGAATTTTATTTTTTAAAAAAAAAGTGTAAAGTAAAAAGAAGTATTTGAATTTAAATATATGTAATAATAAAAAATCATGTGTTAATGATTTGAATATTTTAAATTTACATAACAAATACTTTATTTATACATAGATACTGTAAATACTTTTCTGAGTATTTTATTCTTCCTGTATTTTTAAAGACAAAAAATATATTATATCCTAAATATAAAACACTAATAAATTTTTAAAAAAATGTTGTATCTAGGGATATAATTCTTAAAATCAAACTATTTAAAGATAAAACTTGCTTTATTTGATATTTATATAAATAATTCAATACAAAAAATTTTTTTAGAAATTAATAATACGTTTCTAGAATCAGTAATAATAGTTTGTATAATATAAATAAAATATAAAAAATTCTACTTTTAAAAATTCATCAAATATTTAGTTGAAAAAACTTGACATAGAAACTGACCAAGCTTTTAGGAAACAAATGATAATATAATTTAGATACAAATCATGTAAAATAACCTAATAAAATTTTTTAATATAACTTTGTTATATAGATCAATTTGTCTCATATTACTAATTAATTTTTATGTGATAAATTATAAGTTTGATTAACATGCAATTATATGCTAATAAAAATAGTGATAAAATCAAATAAGAGCCAATAATTAGTCAAAATTAGTTCAAAATTAGTTTTTTATAGAAGTAATATATTTTTAGGTAGTTAGTATAATAAAAGTGATAAAGGATTATAAATACATAATAAATGAAAGTATTTGATATTAAATTTAAAAAATAACAGAAACAGTTCATATTATAATAGAACAAAATGAAAATAATATTTTTTTTTTTAATATAATTTTATTCTACAATAGAAAACTAAAAAATTTTATTTATTAATAAATATCTTTTCTAGTCGCATTTTTGTACATGATTATCTAAATAGTTTAAAAATTAAAGCTTACTATCAAGTTAATAAAAGATTATTTAAACTCTTTCCCATCGATCACTTTTCGAAAAAAAAGTCTAAGAAAATATAAACGCTTACCACTCAATTTCTATTATATTTTTGACTCTGTTAGTTAGTCTTATGGTTCTACAACAGTTCAAACACACTTTTATAACTAGGGAAGAGTTTACTTTAAAAGATATTTTTACTCAATATGGTCAGAAAAAACCAAAACAAACAAGCGTCTTTGAAAAACAAGCACTGTTTTAACTCAACAGAACACCAACAAACCCCCCAAGACACCAGTTGCTTCAACTTCTAGCTCTGGAGAACAACTTGACCTGTCAGCAGCTTCAGACGCTGTCCTTATTGAAAATTTTTTCAAGCCCTTGACTTCTACTCCCCCCAACGTCTTGGATAAGGACGAATCCTCTCCATAGAAGATGACCCCAATATGTAAATAGATCAAAACAAAGATTTCACTGTCATTACTCGTTTAATCCCATTTGCCTGCGCAGCTACCATTTTCAAAAGCCCAAAGGAACTCCCCACTGCCACTATTTCGAAGATTATTAATGCTCACTTTGCTCTCGACGACACGTTCAGGGGAATTAATGTTCGCTACGTTAATCTTGTTCGATCGATCGTGATCTACTTCAATGATCAACAATCTATGGAATCAGCTCTTAATGCAAAATTTCCCGATTTGGATATCAGCCAGCTAGTTCAATATGCTACTTACAAAGAAAATATGCAGTTTCTCCAACGTACCATACGTATCACCGATATCTATCTTAACTTAAAAAAGGAACAACTCACCAACATATTTGCCAAATACGGTAAGATAGTTACTGTGCAAATGTTCACCAGAAATCTTTGGCAACAAGCTTACATCACCTACGAAGATCCTAAAAGTGTCGATCTATTCTATACTCAATAGTCACGTTTTATCTACAACTACTGCGTCCGAGTATACCCAGCTTGCCTCACCCCAGAACAAGTTAAACAACGAAACTATTTTAGAATGAGACTTACCAATCTGCCCTTCAACACCTCTGCTAGGGATCTACAAGATATCACCTTAGCTACTAAAGCTAAAGTTCTCTACATCCCTCATTCAAATAATTATAAACCTTAACCCTTTGCAGTCTTTTAC